AATTTATATACAGAGCAGATCTGGTCTCAGAAGGTTTGTGAATTGTGTTGTATTAAGCTGGTTCTAGGTACCTCATCTAGTATTTGTTTAAGAATGCATGTTTTTTTTTCTCTTTGGTTTACTGTTTTTGGATAATAATCTCTCCGGGCTTTTTCTGGGGCTCCCATGGAACGTAACTGCTGTCTGTGAAACACACATTTTTGATTAAATGTTTGATGCACACAGAGTAGTCAGCTTGCCAGCTATTCGGTGACGGGTGTCCGCTGGAGATCTCGTCAACAGTAAGAGTTGGAGTGCAATCAGGAAGCATTAGTCTGACTCAGTGCTTTGGCCAGTCTCACAATGATGGAGCGGTGAAGAATATCAGGCAATTTCCATAGGCTATGTTTGACACTAGTGTGAATCTAGCCCCTGTTTTGCAGTGTGTTTTTACCTTTAGTTGCCACAGAAAAATTCCACCTCACCCTAATAGTCTTTCACATGGATTATACTCCAAATGTTCATTGTGTAACTTAGGTCTAAGATCTAGACTCCATATAGCTTTCCAGAAAGTGCCTTACAGAACACCTTTGATATATTAGTGTCTGATAATTTGCTCATTTCCTCTAATCGGATTACGAAGAGCTTGTGGCTTTAGACGGTGGTTCGATGAGGCGTCCTGAACAGCTGGCGGAAACTGGCGAGCGGCTCAGGGGGCTAAATCTCTGTGCCCATGGTCAAAAGATCGCCTGTTTGCGCCCTGACCTCAGCAGAACAGTCACATGTCCGTGGACCTCTGACCAAGGCCCTTAACCCCCAGCTCCAAGGATGCTGCATGTTATCTGACCCTGTAACCCCCTTACCTGTACTTGTGCAAATGGCAAATAACTCAGTTTTGATAAATCTTTGAACAAGTCTTGTTAATATTCAGTTTGATTTTGAAGCTGAACTGTCCACATAAAATAAAACTGGGTTGCACGTAAAACTTTTCCAGTGGTTTTGTTTCTGTCTTGCTGATGAGGTGTTTTGTGTGTGTGTTTTTTTTTTTCATACGATTGAACAATAATTTCAAGGCACTGTAGAGTATGGGTTCCCAAACTTTTGATGATTGCAGACCAGTTTATGGTGTGTAAAAATTTGGGCCAGTAAAACTTGCGGACTGCACGGGAGATCCTGGAGGCCGATCGATCCGAGATTTAATAAGTGTAACGGTTAAATATATAAAATATAATTTTTTCAACGTGATCAAAACTTCAGTGGTCGTAAAATGGCATGGCTTGAAAATATAGTTTCTACAGTGCATTGGAATATTTGCTGTGAATCAGTGCCTGGACTCCTACTGCATAGCATATCTGAGGGTGCAGACAAGGTCTGATGCTTCTGATCAAAGAACGATGTTCTCAGTGCTTGTAATTAAGTGATCCATCCACATTTTATACACCACCAGCTGAATATGGCCTTTCCTTCTGTCTGGTTCACAGGCCACACTAGGCTTTTCTCCAAAGGTGTGCAAAGTGAGAGAGCCAAACCAGACATTCATTCAGATAAATTTAACTACATTTACAAAAAGTTTAATCATTACACATTGATATGACTAACACAAGCCGTATATTGAAATATAACTTAGACACAATAAAATTTAACTTAATATTTGAATAGTGTTTTCATCTGACCAGTAGGGGGTGGAATTGCACCCCTGGTAAAATTGCCTATGAAATAGTGGAAAAACCTTGTTTTAATCAGAGGACTTAGATTTCCTGGGCCTGGCGTCAGTGGAGTTTCCGGCATTCATTAACAACAGTCTTCCATTTCCACTTACGCCTTATCCAGCCGTGCTGCACCTCAGGCCTCCATCATTATAATCTCGCCTTTCTAGCTCGAGAAATGGGGGATTTGGATGAGTTTACAGGCTTTCCCTTTAGCCATCAAACATTTCAAGAGTAAAGCGACTGGCAAACCTTGAGGGGTTTCCAAACCCTCACGTACCTCCGGTGAGGACTTCAGTGCTGTTAGACGTGCATTGACACACAATACAGATATATTCTTTACTGTGGGTATGGTTTAGCTCTTTATGTGGCAGTGTGTAACTGTGTTTGTGTGTGCGATTAAAGGAACAAGGGCACAGTAAGAGTCTTTATCGCAGCCCCAGCTGATGCAGGAATAGTACGCTTTTGAATCCCCTGAGGCAATGGGTGTAGTGGCCCCTCCCTCACAAGGTGCTCCTCCTGCAGTATAATAATGAGACAATTGGCTTGATCAGTATGTTTTTTGGTTCGCTGGAGTAAGGCATCAAAGCAAATCCTAGTCTCTTAGAGTGGAGATCTCTCAGGGTGGGCTGGGGTGAGGCCTGGTGGAATATCCCTGAGTATTGTGTGTGAGAGTCTCTCTGCCTCGCAAACAAGCTGAATACAGAGCAGTTTTTAGAATAATTGCCAGCCAGTGCACATAATGTAATTCAAAGCCGCGCTGCTATGAGCAGGTGGCCTTGGAAATGTATCGCGTGGGGATGTGTCAGTCTCCTGCTCCCAATATCACCCCCAATGTTTTAATCCTGCAGGTTCGGGTCCCACGATCGATAAATCATTTCACTGCATCAGCACCTCTCCTGAGGAGCCAATCAGAAGCAAACCCATCATCCAGGGGGAGTTACCAATGGCAATGCTAGATGGTTGGCAACCCTTTGTTAATCAGACTGCTCTAAGTTAGCCATAGGCTCTCATATCGCTCCTCAAAATCACAACTTCACTGATTCTAAGGCTGGTGAAACAGAATTTCATTACTAACCGTAATGTATTTGATGGTACTGTTAAGTAACGTGAAACACTTTACAGTCGGAGCTTCTGGACCTGTGTCCTCCTTGTTGTAAGCTGGCCAGCACCCACTTAAAGTTTACATCATAACATTCACCCATCCGTTTCGGTTTCTTGTTTTTTAAATGAATAACAAATGATGCAAGTTAGAAAGAACCAAAGTATGTGTCACAAACAGTGATAATTGACTGATGGTGAAGCTTTAGATATATGGGGTTTCATTTACTGTGTGCCAGAAAGACCCCTGTTCCACTCTTTTTCTACACCACAGAAAATGAAATCCTAGATTTCTCTTTGATTCTTAGCACTCGTATCCAATAATGTATAACCGGTTGTGTGTACGTGTGTGTGTTCGGAATTCCTGTTATTTCTTTCTCCTTAACGTTCATTTTTATCTTGGCTATTTACCACAAAAAATCTCTTTAATTACCATACCTGAAACTAATTTTCTTAATCACCATAACTCGACAATGGTTTCCATTACCAATTACTCACCATTATTGTGAATAATCATTAAAGTGCTTGATTCCTATTAATCATTTAGGCCCTTTTGATTTGAAGGGCAATTTTCATAATTCAAAAAGTAGTTGTGGCCCACAGTAAATGTAACCACAAAAACATGCATATTTAAGTTTCATTACCTGTTATTACCAACATATAGGCCTACACGAATGCCAACGTGCAAACATATCAAATATGAATATAAATTACTTTCCTTGCATATTTGCAATGCTGTGGTGAAAGTAGTGTTGTACTACTGAAGACCTTTTTGCGGTCTTGGTCTCATCAAATTTATTTTGACTCGGTCTTGTCTCTGTCTCGGACATGCGTTGTTTTTAGGACCAATTAGTCTTGTAACTTTGGATAGGTATAAGGCACAGACATGAATCTTTTCAATCGAGAGAACTCCTTCGATCTGGTCGTCCAAGTTGAGGAGTATTCCAGAATAATCCTGTGCGTAATTAATCATATAATTTAAACATTTTCCACACAAAAGCACCCTCAATAATCCATAAAATTTCTATATCATTCACATTTGATGGAAAACAAAACACATATTCGCTTCCGCAATGATCCATGTACCGTTCTGAGAAAAATATTTGTAACTCTTAAATCAGTCATCATATTGCATCATACATACTTTAATATAGGACTATAATACATTTATAAAGTATTATAGACATGGCTATAACTATTCATAAAAAGGCATAACACATAGTCATGCGTAATATGCATTATGAATGCTCTAGCTGTGAATACCTTCATAATGCATAATAAATGTCAGTATAACAAGGATGCTTTTGATGTAACACTTTTGATGTAGCTAATGTCAGGTTTATAATGTAATAATATAGATTTGTTGTAAGATTTCTTGCGTGAGAGTCTGAATGTTGGCAGCTCTGGTGCATACAGGGGCATAGTTTAGATGTTTTGTTTATTATAATAATAATAATAATAATAATAATAATGAACACTTTATTAATGCGGTAAGAAGGTTTAGATAGGGAATGATTAAGCAATTTAATGTACATTTAAGTGATCCCTTTGAAATCCATCGTTCCATTTTCTGGTGGTGTACTTTTTTGTCAAGCCTCATTAACCGACCAGCAACATTTGGTGGCCTACCTTCAATACCCGAACGGCCCTCTAGGGGGCTGCGGCCCACAGGTTGGCACAGGTTTAGACTGATTTCCACTGATTGGAGATGCCTTATTAAATACTGTACGTTGGTTATAATGTAAATTTACAGTGTTGTTCAATAGACATTTCTGTTCCACTTTTAAGTCTTATTTAGGAACGCAATTATCGTCTATTACGGCCATGTTTTATTTCCTGCCACAGACCTGCTTGATAACTTATTTTCCGACTCCCTAATGCAGTAAGGAATGAGGTCTGTTTGATTACTGTATGAATACTACGTTCCTGTAAGGGACGGCACATGGTGTTATCTGGCATGGGGGTTGTTTAATATATAGAGATCACTTCGCGTCAACACCTTTATTTGTACACGCTTGGGTAATCAGCGCTTACCTGCTCCCCTGGAAATTTACATCACCTTTCGTACTAATTAAAATTAGAGAATAAAAACATCTCACATTAAAACACACCATATTTAACGACTGTACATAATGTCAGGAGAGTGAAGTAACACACCACAAATACTCTATAGTTACTGTACCGGAGCAGTCCCCCCCGAATTTGTACATTAAAGTAGTTTAAATTTCTAGTATTTTTATTTGAGTACGTATGAAGTGCTATATAACGATACTTATACTATGCTATTTATCCTTGAATCGTATCGCTACTTCCCGTAACAGCCTACTGATTTTATCGACTCAACTTTTCCCCGTTTTTACACTCCATCAACAACGTTAGTTTGCGTAGTCAATCATATCAAAGCTCATTTAAGGGCATTCTCGTGGCAGGTTGATTAAAAAGTTAACGGCCGTTAATAATCGCGGAGGTCGTGGCGGGAGTTGCCTCGGCAACAGAACGAGTGCACGCAACAGCTGTTCCGAGTCGAAACTGTGAAGGGTAGTAACGGCATCATGTTATATCATCATCTTAAGCCTGTTAAGAAAAAATAATTCAATAATTTGGTCCGTAGTAATTTGTACAAAGAGAGGTAAGTTATATTCAGGGTTGCCAACTCTCACGTATCTGGCGTGACATTCGCGTTTTTTTTTACTTGCGCTCACGCAAGAAATCTTACGGCAAATCTATATTACGCCATTATAACCCTAAAATTAGCTACACCAAAACGTTGGGGTAGTTCGCGAACCCTACAGACTACTTACAAAGCAATAAAAGGGTTACATATATGTAAATGCGTGTGCAGGCTTGTTTCGAATTGAAAATCTCGCGCCTGAATGAATTTCAGCTACCTTGTCCAGCTGGCTTACTATGTAAATTATTGTTAGGCTACTCTAGGCTAGACATCGCTATTACTACGCAGCTGTAACAGTGTTGCTGTGAGTGAGTTACCCGCTATATGTTTAAGGGTACAATTAGCAGACCCAGTGACAAGCAAAGGTACAAATTTTTACCCTTTTTTCTCAGAGTGCACACCTGAGGTACAGACCCACAAAGGGAGGGCTAAATTCATTACAGACTTGCCGGGGTATGTGACGTGATGCTTGCACGCAAATGAGAATTTTATGAGAATTTGTTGTGGTTACATGTGTTCCGATGAAAGATAAATGAATCCAAACAATAAAGCCTTGACCAGCTTTAATACAAATGAAAATATTTTAAGCAAAAGGTAAAACTATTTAAATGAGATTAGACCCACTGTTATGTGTGGATTGTCGATTACTAAAGAATTTTATATTTATAAGGGAGTCCTAATATTGCTGCATTTAACTTCATGCAATGTGATTGCTATTGAGCTGTAAAAATCATAATTTTTATTTATATAATATATAATATATATTTATATAATAATTTTAGATAATGGTTCTAAGTGAAATTGTATGGTTTGGATTAATTGGACGCTTACAACCAACTCTACACCGATCAGCGATAACGAACATTAAATCCACCTGCATAATATTGTGTAGATCCCTCTCGTGCTGCCAAAACACCTCTGACCCATCGAAGCATGCACTCGACAAGACCTCTGAAGGTGTCCTGTGGTACCTGGCACCAAAACGTTAGCAGCAGATCCTTAAAATCCTCTAAGTTGCGGGGTGGAGCTTCCATGGATCAGACTTGTTTGTTCAGCACATCCCACAGATGCTTGATTAGATTGAGATTTGGGAAATTTAGAGGTCAAGTCAAAACCTTGAACTGTTTTTCATGTTCCTCAAACCATTTCTGAACAATTTTTGCAGTGTGGAGCATTATCCTGCTGACGGAGGCCACTGTCATCGGGGAATACCGTTGAAGGGGTGTATTTAGTTTGCAACAATGTTTATGTAGGTGGTATGTGGCGAGAAAACATCCAGTCATTCAATGTCAGGACCCAAGGCTTCCTAGCAGATCATTGCACAGAGCATCACACTACCTAAGATGACTTGCCTTCTTCCCATAGTACGTTCTGACGCCATCTCTTCCCCAGGTAAATGACACACACAGTCGGCCGACTACACCATGTAACACAAAATGTGACTCATCAGACCAGGTCACCTTCTTCCATTGCTCCATGATTCAGTTCTGACACTCATTTGCCCATTGAAGGTCCATTCGGCGGTGGACGGGTCAGCATGAGCACTGACTGGTTTGCTGCTACACAGTTCCTATACACTGCAAGCTGTGATGCACTGTGTGTTCTGACACCTTTCTATTATTGGTGGCATTAACTATCCTGAGGGATTGGAGCAGATGAGTTATTCTTTACTCCTCACGGGCATCAGTGAGCCTTGGGTGCCCATGACCCTGTCACAGGTTCACCGGTTGGGCTTCATTTGAAAGCTGTTGGTACGTACTGACCGTGTATACCTGGGAACACTCCACAAAGGTTTTAGAGATGCTCTGACCCAGTCGTCTAGCCATCAGGATTTAGCCCTTGTCAAAGTCGCTCAGATCCTTATTTTTACCGCTTCCAACACATCAGCTTCAAGAGTTGACTGTTCACTAGCTTAATATGTAATGGTACCCTTGACAGATGCCCTTGTAACAAGATAATGTTATTCACTTCACCTGTCTGGTTTTAATGTTATGGCTGGGTAGTATGTATGTGACAATACCATGGTGGTTGTTCACTGATTCTTTGTCTGCTGTTCTGTCTCTTTAATATTTGCCCCTTTAACTGTCGATTGAACCTTTCCCCCAGTCCTTCATCGCCTAATTAAATATAACTGCAGTTGTTGTGCTGCAAAGATCCTCTAGTTTGGCCCATGTAGGCTTTGCAGCGATTATGGATATTAATACTACAGCAACCTTTGCTTTCCTTATTTTGCTTTTCTTATTGCTAATATAGGGTCTGTGCAGTGTAGCAGTATATTCAGTCTGTTTTTCCCTTACACATATTCCAATTGATAAAAGGCATGGCTAATAGGCCTTGGTTTATCTGTTTATTATACTTTCGATTGACAGTGTTGGTTCTTTCAGGATGTGTGCAGCGATCCCTCAGATTATTTTCTAAGAAAAAGTCTGTTCTTTATTCTAAATGTCTGTAATCTTGAGTAGGGGTTCCTAACCACCCGACAGTATTCCACCATGGTAGAGTTGTCACCTGTTTCATATGTTATGGAATCACTTTATATTGAAAAAAATGCTGTGTACCATATTGATCCCCGAAGGAGAGACCATTTATGGCATATTTCTGTACACATTGAGTAAATTCACAGAAAGATCGATGCCCTTTATAAATCTGAGCTGTTTCTGCTATGCTTGCCTGATATCTTCCATCCAGGGAATGCTCAGGACAAACTGAAGGTGAGAAGCAGTCTGGTTTGTTATTCTTTTACTTTACTCCTCTTCTAGACCAATGCCAGAAGCTAATGTCCAAATTGCCGTTAGCGATTAAGTGTGATGAGGATGGGGTCCTGCTTGCTCTGAGAGTCACATGTGATCCCACTCCCAACACTGTCAGGGATACACACATGCACTAGAACAGATTTTACATATCAAATTCTTTAGAGAGCTGTGAGTGACAGCCACGAGCAGTCTCTGCTAGCACTTATAAACATTATGCCACCAGCCATTTCTGCAAAGTCTCCAATGTTTGTCTTTTGTGGTATTTGACTAACAGTTAATGTTCCAGTTTCTGGAAATAAATCCACTCACACTAGCAAATAGACAGTCAATTCTTTCCATCCCTCCTCTTTTTTGATATAATCTTGTTCATATGCTTTCAGTCAGGGTCACCTATGTGTGATACCAGGATTTTATACAAGGAGATTAGTGCTTATGTTAAAGAGAAATATCTTTCAGAAGCGTCTCTGTGCTGACCAGTAACTGTATGTGCCTGTGTTTGTTTTGCTGTCATTAATGAGGGTTATATTCCATGTGTCAGATCAGTTCAGGCAAGGATGATAAGCTGATATAGCTCAGTTTATATTCAATTATTAACACCAATGTAGTAATATACTGTTACGGATCCAATGGGGCCACAAGAGGGCAACCCAGTCCACTTCTGCTCCGTCTCACTGTGGGAGGAGGGCACAAGGGAGAGGCTCTCAGTTGCCGCCAAAAGCAGGAAGCCCCCACTAATTAGGCCTCAGGGGGATGTCTCTAAAACAATATGCAAGGGAGTGATCGGTCTCAAAGTTTTTCTGATTGTCTCCTATGTTATTCTTTGTTTTCTAACGCTTGTGTGTATCCCAACGCCGGTTCTTTGTATGCTTTGTTGGCTGCTGTCAATTGGTTCTGGTGGTGCGTTCAGTGCTGGAGACTCACCTAATATTGATCATCTGCTCAACGTATCAAAAATTGTCTAGAGACCAGTCATTGGCATTTTGAGTTACCTTTATGGAATGATGACTGGAGGTAATTAAATAATCATTCAGATTTTAAATCCACCTCCAAATGCTGTGGGTGTATTTGTTTACATATCCAGTGATACATTTTGACTGACCAACAGTGTTGTTTTGATTGTGTTATAAGTACATATTATTATATATATATATGCGTATGCATGCATATGTATGCTGCCTGAGCCACAGAGTTTGATTCCGCAGTGTTATTTCATCAAGGCTCTGTATTTAAGGTACTCATCAGAAAGAATGCTGGACTAGTTCAGAACCTTTTTGAAATTAATGCTCAAATTGTTCAATAAAACTGCCATTTTCATATTTGAAAACCACCTCTTGTTTGCCCGGCAAACACTTCACAATGAGTGAAATAGAGAAAATCTAGATTGAACCGGGCATGTTGTTACCCGGGGGAGGGGCAGTTGTTTAAAGGTAATACTCATGATCTCCATTCAGATGCCAGTGGTCTGAAAGTGGATGACAGTGGTATCTTCCTGAAGAAGTCTCCAGTGCAACATTTAATTAGCAAAGCTGCTTGCACTGTCTATATGTGGTCTTGAATTTAATCACGTCTGGTCCTCTTGGTCTGTACAGGGCTCCATAACCCTGTGGTCCAGTAAAGACCTGTTTGCCCACATCTTAAGGTAAATCCTGTCATTTTCTTTTTCGTGTAGAAGTCATGGCTTTCATGCTGGCAGTAGGTAAACAGATTAATTATGTGAGATGAGCAATCAGGGATGGAGCGTAGAGGATATCCACCTAACTGCTGCCATGGAAGACTGAGCTGATGATTAGCCCTGGCCCTTGTCACATCCCTTCTTTGGTGTACTTTTTAAGCATCAGTTCCCAGTCGTCACTCCTGTGCCTCTTCAGCAACGCTCACCCCTCTCTCTATCTCAGCGCCGCACTGCCTGCAACCCGGATGGCTTTGGCAACTTGAGCAGTTTGACCTGAGTTATTTTTTTCTTGGATATAGTCTTTATGGAGTGGAGGAGAAAATGAATCATCTCTGATGTTCCCAGGGATATAAAGAAGAGGGCTTGTGTTTCCGATTGCCCTACAGCCTCCAGCAACTACTGACATATCTATTTAAGTGGAATAAATGGTCAAGGAAACCTACCAGGTTTTACTTTTTAAATGTATATGGTATTTTTTTCTTCCCCGAAGCTCTGTCTGAACACAGACTTCATCTACCCATCCATCCATCCATCCATCCATCCATCCATCCATCCATCCCTTCTGACTCAGCTATGGTCATGGTTGTCCCTGGAAGCAAAGGATGTTAGACGATGTAACTCGAGTTTCAAAGAGGGCCCTTGCGTCCAATCAGCATCAAGCTTGGTTCTATGCTGGATTCTTCTGTATAAACGTTCTAACATTAACCAGGTAAATTAATCATATCTTCATCAATATCTGCTGTCCCTCAGTACTATACAGTAAATACAGTGTGATTTCACTTTTATTAATGAAATTGGGTCTAAATAACTCCACAGAAGTATTTACACATTTTCCATGGTTTCCAGTTCCATGTTGAAAATGAAGTATCAACCTCAAAATATATAATTTGAAAATTAATCTTCAGGTTGAGACAACTTACGAAAACAATTACAGTTGATAATGACATTCATTAGTTTTTGCCTCAGCTTTACTATATTGAGCAGTCTTCCCCTTTTCCTACAGGTTTTATAGACCTTCTGAATGCAAACTGGTGGATGGTTTATTTAGGTGTGTGTGTTGTTTACACACCCTCTGCTTTCTTAGTGCACCACATATGCTTGAACAACCTTTTAGACATATCATATGCCTATAACGGAAAGTGTTCTCACAGATTGCTACATCGAGACCATGAAGGAAACACCCACACACAAAACGCCCACAGTAAACCTGCACCCTGTCTGAGAGGGTGTGCTGGGGTGTATGTGTACCCGGCTTGGTATAGAGCTGGCGGGCTGCTCAGGTGGGCTCATGATGCATCCGATCTGAGGGGCTCGGACAAGCACAGCTGCTGGGGTGTATGGGGGGAGGGAGGAGTGGGCTTTGTTGTGTCCTCGGTCTGTAAAACTTGCTCTTTGGCCCCCATGTACATTTTAAGCACTGTACAGTGTTTGTGTTTGTTTGTGTGTCTGTCCAAGATTCCATTTATACTGAAGGTTTGTAATGCTCACGGAATGTGCAGCCTTCTATAATTACATTTTCATTTTAACTCTGCATGCCTTATGCACAATATCAAACTCCTCTGGCTGCTTTCTGCATTTTATTCTGCTCTGTAGCTATAACAGGTACAGCTCTTCGGAGCCTAAAACCGCTCTTTCTTGGTGTTTATTATTTCAGGATGTCAGTAAATGTTGATGATGGCTCTGGGCTTTGTTTTATCTAGAGCCACATGTTTTTTTTTCTGTGGAATTGAGTGATCATTCCTTTAAAGCTTGGAGCAGGAGCTGTCAGACTAGGTCTATGATTAGCTCCTTTGAGATATAACACTAATATCACAAAATGTTTGTTTCTTTAAATCATAGTCTAAGGGCATTTCAATGTCAGTAGCCTAGTTGTGTAACTGTGGTAGTTGAGTGCATATATGCACGGCCGATAGATCAGGGTTTATGGGAATGGCTTAGTTTTACATGATTATAATGATCTTACCATCCACAACAGCAAAGAAGTTGGCTGATACCAGATATGCCTGATATTAATTCATGTGACATGTCATTCTCATAACATATATGGGACCAACTAAGAGGGTGTGGTCTCCAGACTTTATGTAGAGTTTATTACCTGACAGCTGTAAGATGGAGAGCTGTACACTCCTGGCACCATTTGCAGGAGGAAGGATGCTGAGGCCTCACAGTGACGAGGTGGGATGGGGGACTGAATCCTCCATGAAGGAGGCACCCAACGATTCAGCATGCGCTCCGCGTTCAGGACTAGCGGTGAATAATGTTAACCATAGTTTGTCTGTCATATGTATGTTTGGTGATGTAAACACCAGCAGAAAAATAGCAATTCTGTATGTCCTTCAATTGTAGCAAGCCCTTAAATCTATTACCATTTTTGCACCACTTATCTAGTACAGGGTCCTGGGAGGTGGGTCTAGAATCAATCTTATGAGAGCAGGATGCCCGCACATCACAGGCAACTGTTAATGGCAGTTTAAATTGGCCAGTTCACCCAACTACTGTACATGTTTTTGGAGTGGAAAAGGAAGAAGCCATGCACTGCTGGGAGTTCATGCAAGCACCTTGATGTCGGAGTCAAACCTGCAAACCTGCTTGTGTGAGCCAATAGTGTTACCCACTGGGCCACCACACCCCCCACTTTGATTTTTTCTCATGGCCGTGGTTGGTGAGTATGAAACACATGATGCATCAGTTTGTTACTGAAATCCGCATCTGTCGTAAGATGCCATCATTAGAGCTGCGGTGGTGTTTGCTTCAGCCTTCTTTCACATAAGCCGTTCTTATTCACCCTTAGTGTTGAAAGGCAGAGCCGTTAGCCCTGTGTAGCCTGTGAAGCTACGGGACACTGAGCCTCTGAAATGAGTCGGCCATACTGTAAGTGGGCCGTTTCCCCCCACTGTTTCCATGCATATTTCATTAGTTCTCACTCGTAAAAAATTTAGCACAGAAAGCATGAAAGTAGATTTTCTATAAGACATGTAAAACTCTCAGTTCTGCGCTGATGGGACGCATTGCGTTGGCAAAAGCACATGCACAGTCATGGTCTTTGTTTGCCGTGGACTGATAGATGTGGGGAAGCAGCAGTTGTGATTCGCCTGAGAGCTGAATCTTCTCACGCTTGCTGATTGTCTCGTTGCTGTGTAGTTTGTCATAGCCACTGCTGGACTCCAGTATGTTTCCATTATTCCTGCTCAACATGCTTCTATGCCCTCGTGGCCTCATTCTGAGCTGAACCTATCCTGCTCCTCCAATAGGGCTTGACCATCAGCTCCATCCCACTGCTTTCTCCATACGAATATGGCCGGTCTGCTCTCCACCAGTGTGCTGACAGGTTGACGGTGATCCGGCACTATCACTGTGGAATAGCAGCTTAAATTTAGGTGCCGTACTTGTAATTTCACAGCACCTTCCACTGGGTTGGCGCCTGCACTCTGTGCATGTGCTCACAGGGACAGCGCATCAAACTGAGCTGACAGGGGAGAGACGTCGAAGCGCGCGGTGGTTAGAGCTTTCCCGAGAGTGGCGGCCTACAGTGCGCTACTCCCCTGGGGTTTTTCCAGTTTAACGAGTCGCTCCAGCCCCCCCTTCTGAGACCCAACAGCAGCTGCTGCCGGTTTCACTCAGCGTGTGGAGATGCAGGGTTAAGGTGGCACACTGGTGCAGGCAGCACAGGGCACAGGGCACAGGGATACACCTCGGACAGGATGCCAGTCCACCACAGGGCATGCAGACTGTCATCTGGATTGTTCCCTATTTCTGCCTTTGATGGTGACACCATTCCCATCTCGTGCAGTTTTATTTTGGCTAAGGAGGTCATATTAGGTGTTAGACAAGACGTTTTCCATCTGTCCATTTTCTAACCACTCATCCTTGTAGGGGTTATGGTGTGAACAGGGTGCTGGAGACTCTCGTGGCGGCTCAGGGCACCAGGCTGGGACAGGATGACAAGAACGTTTTAGGTTCGTAATTAATATTAACATTACTGAGTCATTCTTCACCTATTTGAGGCTATTTAAAAAAAAAAAAAAGTGTGTATTTGGTACCCAAGATGAAATTTATATGGTCATTAATTAAAGGAGAACATTGCAATCTGAGTAATATGCTTGACACCCGTGTTCCACAGTACAAATGTACCTGCCGAGAGATAATGAAGTACCTTTATCTGACATTCGTCTGCTCAAGACATCTGCATTAAGCCAGTAGGGAAATACTGCCAGTTTTTGATGAGAGTTTTTTTTCTTTCTTAAATTTGACAACCTTTCCCTTGGTGAAGCAGAAAAAGCACAAAAGAAAGAAGTGCACCTTCTGGCTGGCTGGTGTGTGGAAGAAAAGGCTTCTCTGTGGAAGGCAGTGAGTGAGTGCGTGCATGAGTGCGTGCTTGCTTGATTGTTTGCTTGCTTGCTTGCTAGTGAATTTCCCCACATGCTCCTTTATTCCGGTACCCTTCTTGGTGATTTAGGGGGACTGATCGGAGTAACGGGGACCTGAATGTTCTCCTGCATCCGGGCCACATGCTGCCTCTGGCAATTCTCAAAACTTTTATTCCCGGAGGATCTCACGTGCTTGTCTGTGCCACGCTTACTGGGGTCACGCGAAGAGTCGATAATGCGCTGCTGGACCATGTTGAATTCGTGAAGGGCCTCTCGGGTTAATGCTGAGCAACACAGTCAGGATCGCCTTTGCCTCTTTCATATTGCCGTCCCTTTTAATTGGTGATGCTGATGATTTGGCCGTTTCCTTGGTTACGGGTGCCGGAGTTACTTCGGGTGTGTGGGCTGGCGGTTGGGGTTCAGAGTGCCTGTTTGAAAATGTCAAGGAAATTACTGCTTTTTTTGAGCCGGAGCTACTTTGTAAGGTGACACATCAGACCCCAACGACCCTGTGCCTGCTCAGTGACTTGGGAAGTAACCATGGCAGCCTGATAAACTGATTTACATAGACCACTTGCAGTAGGGGACCTGGAAGCATCGGTCCCTGAGAAGGAGAAGATGACCTTTGTTTCTCAAAAGTAGGTCTCCCCCTTGCATTCACTCTCCTGCCTCTCTTCACAGAAGCATCTGCTCTTGGTGCCCATTTCTCCTTTTTCTGTGTCTTACAGGACTTCATATTAATCCTGAATTATAGTGCGAGGAAATGTCACGCAAAAGAGAACAAAAGGCAGGCTTGTCAGGAATCTACAGCTGTGGCTCAATCTGCTGACCCTGTCGTTCCTTCCTACGTTAATGAAAAATGTGTTTCTGTAAGATCCTGGGTGCATGCAATACTGCTAGATACTAAGGACTTTCCTTTGAAAAGTTTTCTGTCCAAATATTGAGGGATCCGCTCTTTTTGAGAGGGAGGTATGTTCTGGGAAAGAGATCGTGTGCATGTGTCATATATTTTATGTCGTGGGAAAAAAAATTAAAATGTACACAATTTTACCGGGATGTTTGATTTGAAGCTTGACTTAATTTCAGATGCAAAAGCAAGGTTCAATCCCTGGCATTTTTCCAATTTGCTTCCTGTCGGGTAGATAGACCAGCAAACAAGTTCTCATCCTTTTTGTTTCTTCCTGCACTTGTCAGAGGATCCCTAAGCCTTCCGTCCGTCAGACGAGCGAGTTGTGAAGCCAAATAGCTGAAGCAGCAGAGAACCAACCATTGCAACAGGGCAGACCGGCAGCGCAGGGACCCGGCTTGCGGGCTCTTAAACAGGGAGGCGTATCCACAGTGCTGGTGAACGGAGCAAGCGGCACCCCCCCCTCCCCCCCCCCCCTTGCTCCCAAACGAGCAGCATTGCATCCTGAGCCCCGGGGGCTGATTTCTGCAGACAAAGGGAGCGCTGGCATTTCTGTGAGCGCGTGTGAGAGGTAGAGGCAGGTGAGGTAATTACTGACTAGGGGGGAGAGTGTGGTGAGGTGGGAGAAGGCTACACTGTCATTAACGGGAAACCCAGGAGCTGACGGAAGCTGCCGGCAAACTGAGGAGGGCTGCGCGTCGACACTGAGCTGCAGGTGCGCAGAGAGGAAGGCTGGACAGGAGAGCTGGGTGACAGGAACAGAACAGCCCCATGCAGAGGGAGCAGCGACCACGCTTCAGGGCTGGGTGAGGCATCGCGCTCGGGGGCAGCACCAAAGCTTGCATGGGTTGGCGTCCCCAGGGCACACAGACCCATTCATGCTGGGACATGCTCAGGTCATCTAAGGGCACAGTGGGTCAGGGCCACGTCTGCAGGCTCCACTCGCTGTGACTTTGTTCCACTCCCTTTTTTGGGACTTGTACAATACAGCGTGTTGTTGGTTTTTCCTGGTTTGCTTCACGGTGGGGTGTAACAATCGTTCCTTTGCGGACTTAACCCTATAACACCTACCCACCAAGCACACACACTGAATCATCTCTGGGTGTGATTAAGGTACATTTCCACTTCAGTGCACTTTTTTTCTTGCATATGAGATGGTCCGGGGAGCTTGTCGGAGCTCAGACTATTGGGGAGAAGATAACTATATTTCTGCTATGTTGATTTTTGCATATAGATGTTTGCATTTAATTACTGGCTCATTTGTATTCAGCTGTCCAACATTAACTGCTACTTCATAAAATGTCTCTTTTTTTGTCATAAACGTAATGTAGATTGCTGGTAGAATCCCAAGTACCTCAGGAAATAATGTGTTGTGCTCGAAAGACGCTTATTAATATCTGTTGCTGTAGCAAGCTCATGTTTATTCATGCCAAGTGGCTCGGCAAACTGTCAGCATCCTCAGACGCAACACAGGGGCGCTTGGTAAACGGGCGGCTGTAGGAGGTGCATCCGTGCACCGTGCCAGCGTGAGAGCGCAGCGCTGGGTGCCGGAATGACGCGGTGTGCCCTCCAGTGCCGTGGGGCACAGGAGGATGAGCCCAAACGTGAACCCGCACACGCACGGAACCGCTGCGGGTCGCCTCTGGCTGCGGGTCGCCTCTGGCTGCGGGTCTCTAACGACTTATTCCCCTTCGTGCAGCTTCTTGCTCTGGTGGGATGCTGCTGGCTCCACTGGGGGGGGGCGGTTCCTTATTCTGACTCCTTAATCTGCAGTTTCTGCTGCATCCACATAATTCATCCCCTTGTAATTATACCATTAGAATTATTAAATAATTAAATACGATGGACTGTAATTAAAGCCTGCATACCAATAGTAATTAATTTTTTTTGTCTTAATTGTATAGACTTAATACTGCCTTATTTGAACCACCACAGATTCAGAGATATTTATATGGGGAGTTTTTTAATGTGTTGGACAATGATCAGTTTTTTTCCCTGCCTCTGAGCGACTGTATCGGTTTACTCACTGCCTTCCCTGCGCTGTGAGAAGCAACGTCTCATGCAGAAATGCATGCCTTCTGGCCGCTGAGCAGACCCTCGTACAGGCCGGGCCACAGGCCGGGCCACTGCCTCTCAGTGGGGGGGCTTAAAGAGTGAACCCTACGCCTACCATACAGCCCTTCCCCAGGATGGCTTTTCTCCTCCATGTCGTGAGGCGTGGGGCAGAAATGCTCTTTCTGTATAATTCTGACCTGCGCCTGATGCCAGAATGAGAGGAATGGGCACAGCTCGACACGGGCATGCTGCAGGGGCGCGGTGCTGAGGTAAACACGTCGTGCTATAGCAGAGCCATGCCTTCGCTTTGCCCCTGACCAGCACAGCAGCCTTGCATTTATAATGCAGGTTTTATAATGCAGCACCTACATGCTCAGGTGGTGCTTAATTGATTACCCTGCTGCTGGTGAGTAGCACAGAACTTAATCCCCACAGCTTTTAGTGATACTGAGCACGCAGCATGCAAGCGAGGCAGATGTTACATAACAAGCATCCAGCTGTCAAGGAGCCGATTTAGGCAGAAATGCTGCACGGCTGAGCTTCTAATGAGTGACCAGTAACAAGTATAGGATAGCGGTGGGAAAAGAGCTGTACAAAAAAACGCTTTTAACCTCACATCAGAAAAGCTATACAGATAAATATCACCAAAGAGAATGCAGTAGGACCTAAGTTGAAGTGTGAAATTTAAGAACTGAGTGGCCTGTAGAGTCAGCTGAGACATATGAATGGAACAGTCAATGCAGATAGAGTGAGAGAGGGCTGCTGGTAGACTGCGGGTTTTTGAACTGCTCACAGGAGAGATGGGTCTTAAGATGGTTCTTAAAGGTTCTAATGGATATTGGGTAGTTCATTCCACCACTGAGGAACCACGCATGAAGAACATCTAGTACGAAACCTGTTTTCATGTAGTGGATTTAGTGACAGTTGAGGGTAAGATCATTACACTATTTGATGCTATGTATAAGCAAGCTGGAATTGAGGTTGGCAGCATCGCTTCATTACTCGTTTACCCATCTGTGAAGGACTGATATTCTCCTCTAAGAACACAAAGGAACATGGGGTGGACAGTTTTAATGTGAGAACTTACTGCAGGAAACAAAGCATTTTCTGGACCATTAGTGGCTCCTTTAGTTGTCCTTCCGCGTTCTTGGGTTTTTCACTGGTGAGCCGGGCTACTAATGGAAGTGGTGTTGGGTGATCTCTATTACTGCTATCACTTTTATTTAGTTGGTTAATGTGAGAACCCCTTTGGTCGGGACTGCGAATGGAGCCACAGGACTCGTGGATTAGATGGGGAATGTTGAAGTGCGCGGTGGGACAGGGACAGGTTGAACGCCGTATGAAGGCAAACACAGAAACGAAGCTGTTCCTGCAGGCGGAATGCGCAAACTCAGGTGGGGGATCTGGATACTTGGCGCCTAAATCACAGTCAAGGTTACTGCCTGAAAGAATGAGACGAAACACACCAACTGTGCGATATCGTCAGAATGAGGGACAGGTGGAAGTAATCCGGCTGAAATCCCCCGCCCCTTCCTCTACACAAATATAAAGTTCTCTGCGGGCAACAAAACGGTGGGCTTTTCCACAGTTTCTATTCACATCAGTGATTTTTTTTATTTTTTGCTTTTTGAATGAAGAATCAGTCATGTTGGTTTTAGTTGGATTAGAAAAGCCTATGGCCATAGTACTACCTTTATTTGGGGAAAAAATATATGCAGGTTAGGGCTTCAGCAAGATTTTTTTTTGTATCATAATTGTAATTTTGCTTGACACGAGTTGGATGTACCATTCATTTGCAGTGTGATTTGTGAGTATCTACCCAGAATTTCTCAGCAAGATCCTACAATAGGCAGCAGGTGGTATTACGTTAATAGAATTTTAATGCTGGCTCAAAATAACTTCAGAAGTAGCAAGCTTCATTATTTATATTCATCCTGTCCTCTGTGCAAACTTCCGTGTCTTTGTCTAACCTGAAGTTCATTGGCATGACGCACATTAGAGCTGTGGAAAGTTTATATGTTAAACAGTTCTGGTTAAAAGCTCCTTGATGTTGGGTTATTTGTAGCTTGGTCTCAAGTGACCTGAAGCGTTTGCATTAATTAACCTGGAAGGCTGTACCTAGGTATGGCATCTTGGTCACGGGAGAGCAACCACCTGAGATTCTAAGGCACACTCTCAGATGTGTGGGGGTCTGTGCGTACTACCAGCAAGTGTGGCCGGTACTTCAGTCTGCATTCTGTACTAGAAGTACAGTAAAGTTTGATATTTATCTGTATACTGGGTCTGTCTCTCTTTCAGTTCGAACATTCAACATTGGACGGCCAAAAATGTTCCTTGTATCGGTCTCTGATGAGCCACGGTGTTCAGTATCACTGTATGTGGACACTGTTACCCAAACCAAGTGTGCCCTTATCTGGGAGCCCAACATGCTGCTTCAGCCGCTTGCTGGATCCACAGTCCCTGCGCCGCCTTAAACCAAAGCCCTTGCAGGCTCACACTGTCTGTTCTCGAGGCGTCCAGGTGGTTTGGCCAGAAGTACACTTCAAGGGCACATGGTGTAAAAATACTCCAGCCATTGTTAGTGCAAGGTCAGCAAGCACGGGAGTGAGATGTAGAGACACCTATTAGGGCCTCGTTCTGACAGTGAAATAAGGCAGCCCAGGTGAATGGCTCCCCCACCCCCAGTCTTAAATGTTGAAGTGCTGGTAGTGGATTGGGGGGGGGGGGGTTGTCACCGCTGGGTTTAGGTCAGGCCGTTCAGGCATTAGTGCTTTCTGCCTTATTAACAAGGAGATCCCCCTCAGAGGACGGCATCCTTTCTGCCGTTTATCCTCTACGGAGCGCTTAGCATCCAGGAAGATTCCCAGCTATATCTAATAATTACTGCAGATGCCTAGTGCTGGCACGCACACTGTGAAGATTAAGTACCCAAACACTGTTTTACATGCTCTCAAGGGTGTTTTCTATTTACTCACAGCGAAACTCTGATCGCATAGGAGATACCAAAGGACAGCATGACATGCAACATCAGCAGGATGGCGGTGGGGGGGGCAAAATCACACCCCGCGCTATTCCATAGCTGCATAACCTGCGCTGATTCTTCACAGGCAGCTGACCTGTTTGCATCTAATGCGGCGTACTTGACTGCCGGTGTGCCTTTAACAGGGTTCATCATTCGATATCATCGCCGCTTGCCAGCGCAATTGAAGGCACCCCCTCTCGTCACAGTGGCTGCCTTAGGGTATCGCTTTCGGAAAGATGGGTGACAGCAGAGCGGCCGTCTGGCGGTCAGCCGCCGTCACGTTTCAGCGCGCCCGACCTGAAACGCATGCACGTTATACACATCTGCATGCCCTGCAGAGGGACTGCAGATAGCAGAGCGCACGCTGGTCCTAGTCTTTGCTGCCAAGTGTGGATAGAGTGGATAGATGGTGTCGAATATCTGTGAAATCTTAGTCTGCGCAAGTCTCGTGGGGTTAAAGTGTTTGCCATGTGGTGGGGGGGGGGGGGCAGGATGCACCGTAAATGGGGTGGAAGCCCTAAATGATTCAGGGGGCTCAGATGTGGACAGAGGCCCTGGAAAAAGCCAGCAGAGCTTAGATTTATTACTGTGTGGATCGGGACCCGTGCTTTGTACCCTTGCCTGCATGTGACAGTAATAGTATGCTGATTTATTTGCAGCCTATTTAGCGTTTGGCTTGTGCCCTGTGGTCGGGCAGCATCGGTGGTGTGTTAAACCTTCATCGTGAAG